TGTAGAAGCCATAGATATATATATATTGATATTTATATGTGCAGGGAGGTAGGTGATACTGCTGATGTCCAGCAAAAGTACATTCCTGAAATATTATTGAATGGGGAAGTACTCTTAATGATCTGGGGTTTCTGAACCTTCGAGAAAGATCAGACAGCACGTTTTACTAAGGCAAAGAGCTGTCTTGTTTCATGTAGGTAGGATTTCAAGAGCGCTTGAAGAAGCTAGAGTACACTAGTGCTCCTGAGGTGTTTCAACATGTAAAAGGCCTTTAACTATCCGCAGTGGTATAATAGGCTATGCTGGCTTCAGATTAATACGACGGTCGTAAGCCTTTTGCTGCGTGGGTAAGAGAAAGGAAAAGAAGTTGAGTGATGAAGCAAAGGAGGGAATCATGATGGTTAAGATCATATTGTAAGATCTTGCCTTCCAACATCAAGAACAGTGGGGATGTTCAAAGAAAATCGATCAAACATCACTAGTCATCATGGGAGAATTTGTTCGGGATTCAAAATGGCATTCTAGAATCAGGTACCAAGCGCGGTGGGACATGAAACCGACGTATACGCCGGAGCTTCCATCAAATATTCCATCCAAAAGATACCTAGCCCTATAATAATATTGATGAACTGCACTGCTTGACTCGGATATCACGTCTGAGCAACGTTTTGAGAATTAATCTGCACTTTCAAAAAGATTCTGTTGAGTCTGTTCACCAACTTGTGGAATAAAGTTTAAAATTTATTGCCGTTGGAGGTTTTGCGCTGATATATGTAAGTGGTTTCACGACTCGCGAGCCATTTTAGTACTCTCCAATCAACCCGATAATCCACTTCGCGCATCTATGCAGGGTCACTGCGGCTACTATAATAGTACCCTAAATACGGCATCGGGCTTCTTGATCAATTTCCTGAAAACTGATATTCTCCAGTTAGATTGCATTGTGCAGATTATAAAATGGGACCGGAAGAGGAATTTACAAACTCAAATTATTTAATTCGCCCCCTTTTCCGCCCGGCCCGCTTCGTGCCATTCATATGGAGGATTTGCGAAAATCCAATCGACTAAATTACGAGCCATTTCCTGGCTATGACATTTGCCAATTTCTTATTACCTGTGACCATACAAAGAATTTTGAGATTGTATGCAGTATCAATTTCAATATCTTCTCGTGAGCTCTCATGGCCATCGTTCTCTTTCAATACTCGAAGGTAGTATTTTATCGCAAGATGCGAGACACCAAGCATATGATAAACTCTGGCCAGATTGTAATGAGCTTCCTGACGTTCCTCAAGAATGGTTGACTGTTTGCGTGAGTTATAATAATCGAAAAGGAACGTCAGACCTTGAAGGATCATGAATTGCCTATTATCTGCTTGTCTCTTGAGCGAGTGATGAACATAAGCAAGGCCTATGTTCAGATTTATGATAGCATTATTTGGGTCAAGTGCATAAGCTCTCAGGAAATAGTCTACGATTGATTTCGTTAGCAAAATGGTCTGTCCAAAATATCAATTTGGGTTGAAGTACTTAGAGAGTATGCATAACTTGTCCCCGAGTAAAGGATATGGCCGTATAACATTAGGAGAGCGACGTCCATATCATCGTTAAGAACTGGTTTTCCATCCTTGTCCTGCGACGTGTAGCCGGCTTTCTCTGCATAGCCTCTTTGACGACGAGTTTTATCGACGAGATTGAAATCCATGGCCTTGACTTGGCGAAGCATATACTTTTGTTCGGGGCCTGAACAATACCACGAGACTGGAGATTGACACAACCTCGCTATGGCTGCGTACATTCTGTAAGAATCTGTGGTGAATTGATATTCTCTCATAAAATATCTTGCCACTCTGATACACATCTCCTCGTCATTACAGAGCAAAGCACAAGCTGTATTACGATTAGTAAAAAGCTAACTTCTCAAAACCCTATTAACTTACTGCCCCAGCATACATGGATCAAGAACATGTCCTCACGCTTATGATAGAAGACAATTGCGTCCCTAGCGGACTCGCAAATCTCATATGACTCTCGATCATGCCCATCCTTTGCGAGACAAATTGCGTACTCAAGAAAGATATCTAGCCAAGAACTGAACGAGATGCCCCGGTAATCGGCTGGAATGCTAGCAGATGTAGCACTAGTTCGGTCCTCAGCATCGGCTCCGAGTTCTAGAGGGGTCAGTAATTTATAGTTGGAGTCAAATAATAGGAAGTGTTTACTAACTTTTTGACAATCGATCAGCCATCTCCGTTAAATCAGTCTCCAGTTTTGTCTCTGCTTGAAATTTATCGTCATGAGTATAGCCCAAGAATTTGACATATTTATCCCAAGGATAAAAAGTTTTGAAGGCTCGAAAATCATCGATGAGATCTTCAGCAGCCTCCATCCACTTGTAGGTTGCTGTTGGATCTCCAGCTCTCATCTGTTCAAGTTCTGTTTTCATAATAGAGTATTGGTTCTGTAGATGTTCCGCTCTGGCGGCCTCTTCCTTCTTCCTTTCGGCTGGATTAAGGAGCCTGCGTGGCGCATAACGAGATTGACCTCTCCGAATACCAGGGAATGTCGTATGTTTTCTACGTGGCTTCTTAGAAGGTGCAGGGTCGGAAGATTCTGTTCCAAATGCTGGGTTCTCATTTTGACGTTGTGTTCGTCGAATTGCTATGATTTCATTCACATACATGAAAGACTGGTCTTTTTCGTTTAGTCTTTCATAAAGTTTAGCGAGCTCCATCCTTGCTGGAATGTTGTCCACCTCCATTTGTACTGCGTTTTGAAAACAGAGTTCGGCCTCTTGGTCAGACTTTTCACCAAGCCAACACTTACCCATCTTGAATTGCAGCGAAGCACCTTCGGAACCAACGCCTGGTGCCAATTGTAAATAGTAATCTAAAGCATCCTTATTATAACCCTTTTCGGCCAAAGTATCAGCGACTTCCTCAAAGAGGTGAGGAAATTCTTCAACGAGACTTTGGCCATTATAGTCAGAGGTTTTAAGATAATTAAAGTGACGCTGGATATGTTAGAAACACTTTTACATAAGGGAGAATGAGCTGGCTTACCATAGCTTCTGTATAATGACCAAGGAATAACCGGTATAGTCCAAGTTTGACTCGTAGCTCGACGGGCAAGCCTGGACCATATGTGTCTAACGGGAATGTCTTGGCATCAAATTGGGAACATTCAGATCTTCTGATATGATCATCGTCCCACTCTCGATCATCATCAACAAATTGGTCCCAAAATTTCTCTTCACTTCTTCCAACTAACCATCGAGCTACTGATCTGAGCTCCTTGATACCTTCGGTGTATTTTTCCATGAGCCCGAAAAGTTCGACGTATGCATAGGCATCTGTCCAACCAAAGGGTGTGTCAATTTCTACATCGGCTTTCTTGAATTTATCGAGGGTTTTTGTGTAAAGTTTCATAGCGACCTCTACCTGCCCTCGATCAACGTAAATCGATGCTAACGTCTGAATAACTTCTGTATCGAATGGGCAACGCTTGAGAATAATCTCATATTCTTTGGCCGCGTGACTGAGGTTTCTTCGCTCAAGCATGAGAGAAGCTTTGATTCTCCGAGCCTCCAGATCTTGTGAATCTGCTCTGAGTATTTGTTGAGCAGCGTACTGAGCAGAGATAAGAAACTCTGATCTTAAATCGCCAGTTTCATTCAAAGCAAAATTCAAGGCGGCATACCAAGCACCGGGATGCTTCGGCCTCCAAGTCGCAGCAACCATCAAAGCCTTGACAGCCGAATTGTATTCGCCCAGTTCTTTGAAGCAAGCGGATAGTAAAGTCCATGCTTCGTAAGTCTCTGCATTAATTCGAACAATTTCCGCAGCTATATCTCTAGCTTCTTCACAGCGCCCATTCAAGAATGCATGATTGGCTTGACCTAAACGTAATTTGATATCACCAGTTGGCTCCGCTGCTTTCCGTGGACCTCTGATTCCCGGTTTGCGACCTCTACCTCCTTTGGCACCGCGCTTTTTGCCTTTCTTTCGACCAGCAGGGGCCTCATCGGAGTCATCATCACTATCTAAGTGTCTAGCCTGGCGCACCTCATTTTGCATCTTGCGAATTCCTTTACCGAATTCTCGATAATCGGGATCAGAATCATCCGAATCACCCCTATAACAATGTCAAACAAATTTTCCAACATATGCTCTTCCTCCAAAGTAAACTTACCCAAAATCCATATCTAGAATATCATCCACGCCCTCCACCTGCTCTCGTCTCTGGTTTCTCTGCTCCGTACTTGCTGCAGCAAATTCGGCCCTTGCATTGTCCAGACTGAAACCACCAGTGCCTTGCGCTGGGGTTGAAGCATGAGTAGGCCATATTAAAGTTTGGCTCTGGCTTGCTTCTGGATCCGGGTATTGGTGACCTTGACCAGTGAAAGCATAGGCCGGTGATATGTCATGAGGATAACCAGACATTTTACGGAAAACCTAAAGATATCGAAGTCTCTCACAGACCTGATTGATTCTTAGTTTTTTTATATCTAGAATTTATTGGCTTTTGTGGTTATCATGCGCAACCTCAGCTGGTTAAGTGGTGTTCAGTGTGTGTATTTCTCTTTCAAAAAGCATTCAAGATGTGCATCTTCTTGAAGAGTAGAAAACGATTGAAATACAATTTAGAGCTTGACGTAAGTGCTTAGATATACCGCCGTAGGAAACGGAAAGGTAGTATTGAATAAATGTTTGTATAGAAAAGCATGTCACTCTTTTTATTCCGACGGAGGGAACAATAACAAGATCTAGAAGTTTAAGATCTTAGCCTTGCATAAGGCTGATAAAATATTATAGACCGCCTTCCTTAAACGATACAACTTTCCCCCACCTAAATTTCGTTCAGCCCCGCGAAATAATTAGATATCTACAAATTTGTGATAAGAAAAAGTCATTGATTGTCGCAAAATACAACACTGCGAATGAGTTTCTGAACACAATTTTTCAATCTTCCTCGATAGAACTGAATTCCATTCATTCAAAATGCCCTCCACCACTTCTCCTACTACCTCCCTTCCACCCAATTCCGCTCTCCAGAACCTTCTTAACACCCAAACACCTACCCCCTCGAAGCCACCCACCCGCCTACCTCCACCATCTCGCAACCACTATTCTCCAAAATCTACAGCTCCAACACGATTGGACCTCCCTAACAATTCACACACACTCCCCTTAACCTCGCACCCCCTTCCTCGTCCTCTAATCTCCGGATTACCTCCTCGACGCGCCTACATCCACCCCGACGAGCAAGTCGCCATCCTCAAAGCCGAGCATTCCTCTGGAGAAACCATTGCGCAATTTCCCGAGCGCGAATGGGTCTTACCCACGCATCTGGAAGAAAAATGGAGTTTAGCACGCTTTGCAGAGGTGTTTGACGCGGTGGGGACTGTGCCTCCTGGTTCTGGAGCTGAGGGAAGAGAAGATGCTCAAGAGGATGGCGAGGAGATTGTGGGAGGAAAATGGCAGGGAGAAAATAGACAGAAGAGGATACTCTTGGCGACATTGCATGATGATAGCACAATTGTGTATTATATCATGCATGATGGAATTGTGAAGCCTCGACAAAATTGAAGGGGGCTTGAGTGGATTACTATTCTAGGAGTCATTCAAATACCTGAATATCTCGAATGGTAAGACCAAAGTTTCGAAAACTCAGTTCTTACACGGCAGATTTGTCATGGACATGAGGAGTCTGCTTGCGAATAAGATGCCTTAATCACGATAATCACGAACAAATCCAAAACTGAAATACCAGGTGGTATATCTGGAATATAACCTTTTTCGAGATTCGGCACCGTCGACCTTTTCGAGATCACCATATCATATTTAAAGTATGTACCGAGAAGACACTACACGGAAGCCCTTGAAGGAAGAATATGATTCGCGACTTAGGAGAGAATGCCGTTGTGATCAAATCTCTATCAAATCTGGAGATGCTTCGATCATTCTGTGAGGTCCTGGAGGGGGTAGACTGGATGGACATCGCATATTGAAGGGAGACACGCAATCATCAAATACGGATGGATACACTGGTACCACTATACAGCCATCGGAAATGCTTTCAACCAGCCCATTACATCACACGCCTAGTACTTTATAAGTCCAAGACCAAACTCCTTCCGCTACGAGTCCTCAAGCGCGAGCCTGCATGGTAGCCGAAACATCTTTGCCATAAACTACACTATAGTTATCTACACTCCTCTGCTATGTCTGCAGGTGCCATCACAAATAGCTGTATCCATAACCTAGCACCCAGAATACCCCCTAAGGAATCATATCACATTGAGTCAAATCAAATCAGACCAGATCTTTGTATAAATATTCTGTACGTATCTCAAGTAACGACCAGCCAGCCTTTCAGGAAAATTGCATGCCTCCTAATACCGTATCCATATCCATAACCAAATCCAAATCCATAACCATATCCATATCCATATCGCCATTCCCATCCTTCCTCCCTCCCAAATAAAACCCAGAATCATTCTCCCATGAAAAAGAAAGGAAATCAAAAAACACCTTCTCATCTGTAACGCAGACTCCCAACCCAATCGCATATCCCGCTCTCGAGAATCTAAACTCCAGACATGTAGTCGCTGTGTGGTCGATCGTGCGTGTTTAAAAGTAAAAGTAAAAGAAATCCTAATGCCAGACTCCTTGTTTCCATTTCCATTTCCCTTCATTGTGTATCATCTCCCCTCCCTGCAATTCCCCACCCTCCCACTAACAAACATTACACAACAGCTCCGCCTCCAGAATATATTTGCCCTCCTTGTATTTCTCGCTAGCCTCATATGCTTTATCGTATTTCCAGCCCACACACTCGTTACAGCGCTTACAGGTTATGTCTCTGACGATGTGGCGGCCGGTCGTCATGTTTCTTTCTGAGGGGTCGCCGGGGAGGATATTGACGACGGTGCCGAAGAGGTAGGCTTTTCCATGTTGGCCGCGGAAATTCTGGGAGGGGTTAGTTGGGGATGTTGGAGGGGAGGAGCTCGAATATGATGTGAGGACTGGGAGATGGGAACTATGTGGAAAGTGCGGGAAAGGGAAGATAGATACAGATACAGATGTAGATATAGATATACTGATAAAGAAACGCATAAAGCAAATACAAGAGAAAAAAACGAACCCGTGAAATAATCTCCTCGTGCGTACTCAAATGCGTCTTGCAGCCCTTGCAGCCGTATATCTTATTACTGGTTAGGTATGTGTTATATGAAAGACCCATGATTTCGTCTGCCAGGTATCTTTTTTATTTCTTGGTTTCGGATCTGGTCGTGAGGAAATGAGGAAGAGGGGGGTTCGTCAAGACGAGAAGAAGGAGAAGATGGGGGTATTCTCCAGATTTCGAGGTTATGTAGATACCTAGGTGACTTGATGCTATTCTTCTCTGCGAGTGACGAATATCGTAGGATGTAGGATGTAGACAATCAAGAGGTGTAAGAGGTGAAGCAGACGCAGATAGAAATCGTATTTGTATTTGTATTTTATCTAGGAGGTTTCCAAAGCGGTCGGGTCCCGTCAGGCTTTGTTGTCTCTTGTCTGGTAGGAAATTACGTCAGGTGGTATTAACTTGTGTTCAACTGCTGATCTTGAGTTTCCAGACTTTGATATGTGAGTATGTTCCCAGAGGAGAAGAAGTAAAGTACGTGATTCAATACGTATGTAGGTATTCGCGGCGAAAATAGGTGAGATGGACAAGTCAAATGTTGATATGTTTGTCTGTCGAAAGGCTTTGTCGTCTCTTATCGCCTTATCCGAATGGCGGTGCCGGTGGGTGGGACGCGGGATGTATCGTTTGTTAGTGTGAGGAGTAAAGGGAGATAAGTGGATGGGTGGATGGATGAATCGGGGATTCAATCGATCAAATGACCTTTTGAGCTGTTAAAATAGAGACACAGGATCTAATGACGTTCTTTGATTGATGATTTATTAACAATGAGTAATTTTGAAATTTCTTCATTATGAATTGGCTTTTGTATAAATCAGCTGAGTGATCAAGAGCAGGTATTTAGGCACCTTTCAAATGTTTTAGACCCTGTCATTTCTTACTTTCACATTCATTATTACATGCATATTAAAGCATCCCGAGGTTTCCTCGCTACACTCCTTATATCCTGGGCGACGACGAGATTGACAAGAGGGGATGCAACCTCATTTTAAATTTCCAATACTCATAACGAAGCAAAGGATCTGGAAGTGAGCAATACACAAATTCAAGTCAACAATCCAGTTCTCCAACAAAAGACCCAGCCAATTTCTCGAGATTTCTCACCATGTGTACAGTCTCTTAGAATATCACAGCATAATGTTCCAATGAGATATGAACTACGATTCGTCTAATCATATGTGCATCCCAACTACGCTCACTAGCTATACAAGCTCACCAGAACCATGATCCCAATATCCAGCCAAATCAGATTCGTCGATTTTAACCCCCGGCTATCCCATCAGCCCCTAAGCTAAAATATACAAAGAATGAAGACCCCCTTTCGTTCCCAAGCTACACTCATACTCCGTCCTACCAGGAGAAAGCTTCTTCTACGAAATCAATATTTCCGTTGTACTGATGTTTCCTCACCGCGCTCCTCACATCATCACTCAACGCACCACTTCCACACACCGAAACTCCCATCGCTCCCACTTGGTTTTCCATTTCAATTTCCAACAGCGTCTCGATGTTCGGTCTACCAGGGAACATCTGTACGGTAGCCGACGGACTATGAATTTCCTTTGTCGATCTTGGTCTACTGACGAACAACATAATTCTCAAAACTTCGCGACGTTTGTCCATTGCGAGAATAGAGGTCATCCATGGTCTAATCCATTCGAGATGTTCTGGAGATTGAATAGTCCAGACGAGAACAATTTTTCGGGCTGCGACGGTTCCATTTGCGTAGCCGGCAACGAGATCTCTAACGTGTGGGACTTGATGAGTGATACCGACTCCTCCGGCAAACAACATGACTGTGCCGTAAGAGTGCATCATATGCATTCCTCCGTATGGACCTTCGGCCCAACACTTGGTATAGAGTTTTCCATCCGGGGAAGCCTCGGCTTTCTTGAAAAGCTTTTCAGTAAATCCAGTTCGAGCTCGAATGACGAAAGACATGCTTGTCTTTTGCATAGCGAGGATATCTTGACGGTTCATGGCTAATTTCTCATCTGATAAATCTTCTGCTTCTTCTGACCAAGCGACTGAGAAGGGGTGAGATTGGAATAGCCCGACGGATGGCATGTAAAGATATGCGTGTTGGCCAGGCTTGAACTTCCATGGGCGTGCCATATCAACGGTAACACGAACGGCATTTCCTGGGAGAGCTTCTACCAATGTTCTAGATCCACCCTTTCCGAAGTTTCGGTATGCAACTGTAAGTACTCTATAGACCCGTTCAGTAACCCAAAGAATAATGGCTCCCCAGAGAAGTGGTAATTGTGGGAGGTCAGATAACTTCAAGTGGTAATAGATGCCGATGATGACAACGATAACCAGTGCGATGTGAAGATATTTGAAGATCTCATATGCGGCATGGCGAATAGGCGAGCTAGCCTGGATCATGATTGCAATAGCGGCAATCGTAGCCTACAGACTTTTAGTACAAGTTTTAATATATTTTGTTTTCAGAGACAACTTACGATAGCACCATACGTTAGCATAGAGCTTTTGCCAATCGACGCCCAAACGGCAGACCAACCAGAAGCATAAACTTTGGCGGCAGCCCAAGCAGCAACATGGGCAATCATCTGAAGAGTTACGATTCTTCCAGTCCATCTGTGCAAAAGGTTGAAAGTATCAAAAGAACAATTGAGCCAGTTGATCAAAGGGTTATTTCGGGCAGCCATAATGAAGAGGGGAATCTAAAAGATAATTAGCACGTGATGGATATATCAACCTATCATTCTTCAAACCTACCATATTGACAACGGCAAGAATGCCGGTTCTATTCCTAAGTTGCTGGGCTACGGTAGCATATGACTGATCCCAGGTAATGCTAACAACACAGAAAGCAATGTTGGTTCCGAAATAAGCCAAGAGAAAGGCAAGTTGAAATCTAGTAGGAAGAGTACCGACGTTAATAGCTCTGCCCATTTGGATCTCCCTATTATGTCTCTTGCTCAAGACAGGAGCATAAAGAACATGCTTCTTGAATTTCGCAAACCCGAAAGAAGGAATAGCGAAATATCTTTGCGTCTCGTTGTTGAGTGATGCCATGGTTCGAACATATTTGACAGACTCCATGACCACTCGCCAGATAATCATACCACCGATCAAAGCCGCAAGAACAATAAAAATGTAATCATAAAAATCCTGGTTGAGCATTGATGCTTTGGCTTTGATAGCCGCAGCGGCGGCGGCAGCAGCCTTTGCGGCGGGTGTGGTTGCTGTTGTTGAAGAACTTCCTGATGGTGCTTCACCAGCCACTATTTCGACCAGGGCGATGACAGCCACAAATATCGAAGAGGAAAACATGATTGTGAAGAATATCTGACAGATCTAGGAGTTGTATTTGGAGTATCCAGATCGGCCTAATAAAGTATGCGATGATGGATCGATAAATAAGATTTGATAT